TGCATAAGAGACCAAGTCCTCATAACCAGTAAATGTACAGGGCTACTACCCAGAGCTCAGAATGAAATGAGAACAGTGATGATGCTTTAGGTTTTACAGCCACTTCTGTGCTCAACTTTGACAATTATTTATTACCACTAATATTGTGCTTTGTAAACTTATACAGCACTTTATGAAGTAAGACATGTTTCCTATTTTAAAGATCTTATAATCTTGTGGGCTGATAAAGGGTGCAGATTATCCCTTGGATGTTCATAAATAGCATTAGCACTAAGAGTTTTATTAGCAGTGGGTCCTTTCAAGCCTGTGGCTCTTTCTTTTTCTTAACAACACTTCCCTAGTCAGGTGCCAAAATAAGGATTTCTACAATATGATGTTCCAGGCTGGAATAATGTGGGCATTCTTTGGTTTTGCTTGTAGTGAAAGAGCAAAACCCAAGCAGAGTCCCAGGACAGTGGCTGTTGCTCTGCATGGGTTTAATCCACAGCCTTTGCTCGCCTCTCTGAGACTCCAGATCTGGAGTTTGGGGGATGGCAGTAGAGAGCAGGCTCGGGAGGTTTGTGTGTGTGTGTTTGCTTGCGCGTGTTTTAAATAAACAAACAATGCAACAGCAACTTCAACAAATTGTGAGTGGTGCTAATTTGTTATAGTGCTGTCTTGCCTTCTGGCAGTGTTGATTTAGGAAAAGCTGAGCAGACTGGAACGGATACAGGGAGCTGCTGGTTCTCTTGCTCTGGGATGTGTATATGGTTCAGCATAAAATACTTTTAAGGGTCCTGTCCTGAGGAGCTTTCAGATTACAGGGTAAAGCACATACATAGGCTGTCAATCTCCTTTTCAAAACCAAATCTTAGGCAAAGGTACCTTCCCCCCTGCCTTGTTTCTACATTTTTAAAATTAAGAGAAGTTTTAAGTCTTAATTCATGACAAAAGCCTATAATTTGTGTACTTTGAGGACTGCCAGGAAATCCTTGACCTTGACAAGAATAGTGTGTAGGGAAGGAAAGGAGGAAGATCCTGTGCTTTGGACTGGAGCAAAGTTTTCAACACCCCATGACCTTGCTGGGCTGCCTTTCATAACATGTGTGGGGCTGTAATCCCCCAGGCTGAGCAGCTGTCTGTCAGGGAGGGCTGGCCAAATGTGCCCGAGGTATCTGCAGCCCTGGACCACTGCTGTGCAGGGCTGCAGGACAAAGCCAGCAGGATGGGAGCCTTGCTGGGAAGAGGTGGATTTTGGAAACACACATAGAGTGACCTCTCTGCAGTCTGTGAGCTGAGTTTAAATAATGCTTGAAGTCTCAAGTGAAGAAGACAGAAGAATAAAACAGTCAAAATAAGAAGTAGGGGCTGAGGAAAAGCAGCCAAAGAAATAAAGAATTCTGAAAGTGAGTAAACTGTGCTTTCCCATTAGGTCATCTTCAGTTTGGAGAGATTTGGATGCAATACAGGCAGTTTGCAAGACTTGGAGTCTGTTAGGCCTTTTACAAGCAATAGTGGCTTTCTGGCCTCCTCTCATTTGCCAGGCTCAGATGTGCTGAGACTTCTTGGTGGCTGCAAAGAACCAAATAAAAAGTGTTCAGGGTGATTGATTAAGCATCTGACTTGGAGGGATGTTTGGTTGACAGTTCAGTCTTAATACTGCCAGGACCAACTCTTACAGTGGTTTGCTTGAAAGACTTCACCAAAATGAAACTTAAAACCAAAGATTTCTTTGCTAAGTACAGGGCTGAGTATATGGTCAGTTTTTGGGGAAAAGCAAAGAAAAAAATGTGGGGAAGTGCTAAAAGTGCTGTGTTTAAGGTATCATTTATATTAAGAACTGTTGCTGGATCTAGAGATATGGGTAAAGGGAATGAGATTTTTTTCTTATTGGAAAAAAACGAGACAGCAATGCTTGCTTTGCTGGTATCTGCACTGGTATCTGGCATATGGTGAGAGAGATGACATTTTGGTCCAAGACATTTACTACACCCCTCAGCATGGAAACTTGGTGTTAACTACTGCAAGCTCATTATATTAGCAGTATTGTGTATGCAAATGCTCCTGTGCAGGTTGCTTCTTTCTGCAGAAAAGTTTGCTGAGTCCACACAAGAAATGAAAATAAACAGGCCAATTGGGAGGATCTTTATCAAACCTGCTCTCATTTTTCCTAGTACTCTGAGGCTTTGTTTGCTCTAACAAACCATGTAACTAAGGAGTCTGAGTCACAGTCACTAGTTCCAGCTGCCTGCCTCATCCCTGTCCTGGAGATCCCTCCCCAGTTGCAGGGACAGTTGAAAGGGTCATGCATTTGCTCCAGTATTAGTGCATTTCACAACCTGCTATCAGCTTGTACCTGTGCTGACTCAGAGCCCTAAAGCAGTGCTGCAGCTGGGAGTGTCCTGTAGGACAGTCTTGGTTGGAAGAGGGTCCTGACATTTCTCCTTCTCCACAGTGCTGGGTGTGCTCTGCCCTCAGAGCGATGCTCAGCATGGGGTTGCCACCCCATGCACCCCCTGCCTACCTGTACCTTACTGAAGGACAGGGCTCAAGACTCACACTCTCTAGGATTAACTGGAGGGTAGCAATGATCCTTTAGTCACGTCCTAAATTCTTGCATTGTAAAGGGAGGATTTTGTACAGGCTCAGAGGTGGCTGGGAAACAGAAATTTTGCATACCAAAGGGGCCTTTGAGCTACTTCATTCAATATGTTGTTGTTATTTTTGTGCAAGAGGGAGTAAATAAATTAATTAAGTGAGATTAGCATTGGTTGTTGGAGCTGCCTTTACTACTTCCAGTGCAGGTAAAACTAAAACTGAGTTTGCTTAGTTGTTGTAGGAAGAGGAGCCCAGCATCTACTGCTGGTCACTAAGTGGTCACGAGCTTCTGAAGCTTTGTTTTGTGCCACTGGTCTGTTCCTGAGATCAACTGCACTCTGCAGATATGCAGGAATTTTTAGTGCTGGACTCTGGCTGACAAGATCTGCAATGACCATGCCTCTCCCCTTCTCCTCCCAGTAGATGTTTGGGTAGTCCTAGTCTCCTGTGTGTCAGCAGTGACAACAAATGTATAATATACAAGCACTCTGTTTAGGAGTTGAGCAGAAGCTTCGTTTCTGACTGCAGTGAGATGCTCTAGCAGTAGGAAACACCTTTGGTTGAAGCAGTTCTCTGCTAAACTCTGCCCTAGAGGGGAAATACAACCATGGAGAAGAGCTCTTGCTTCACAGTAGCAAGAAACAAATTGATGTAATCTGGGTGTGGAAAACCTCGTGTTTGAGCTGCTGTTCAAGAAATACCTTTATGCAGCATTCAGCCTGTGTTAAACTAAGAATTGCTGGTATTGCTGAGGGTTTTGCAGAGTTGTGATGCTGGGAGATGCAGCCAGAGTTTAGGTTGCTCTAATGCTGTGCAGAGAGCGATCTTCTGGAGAGGGGGGAGCTTCAAATTCCTGGGGCTCTGGCCCATTATGCTTCAAGTGTGGTAGTTAACTGTGGGTTGGCCTGTTCATGCTGGCAGTGGTCTGTTCAGGCTAGTTCAGCAAATGCTCTTGGCTCAGTACAGCCCAGGTCAGTAGGCAAACAGTTGTTTACATTTCACTTCCTCATTGTATTGACAAGATTTAAATATCTTCAGCCTACAGCAGTAAAAACAGGGTGATCTGAATATAAAAGACCTATTAGTTCAGTGTGAAAGGGATTTGGTTACAGAGTTGTGGGGATAAGTATGCAGGTGGGAATGATGGGAACACTGTCCTGGGCCTAAGCCCAACAGATGTTCAGAAAGAATGAACTATCTCCTTGTACGCTGCCCTTCTCACAACAACCCGTTCCATTTCTCAGGCCTGTGTCTTCCTTTATGCTTTCTCTCATTCAACATTAAGTATTATAGATAGCCTCCATTTGGCCTTTTATCTTTTAAGGTTGATAATCAATAGTATTCTCACTTTTAAAATATAAGATTTCTATCTCCAGAAGCACAACTGGAGACATGCAGCCATCAGTGTGATAAGAGCTATGCACATGTTTCACTTCACCATGAGGGTCTAAAAACATATGTTAAATCCCTGCCAGGCTGCAGGCTTATTTATGTACTGGTTTTTGGTGGGTTTGGGATTTTTGTTTTGTTTTCACTGGGGCAGCATCACCACTCGTAGAAAGGAACCTGTGCTTAGCATCTACTCTGAGACTCCTCCATGATAATCCTGCTGGAGCTGATTAGAGGATCTCTGTGGGAAGGATATGCACTGCAGAGGATACAACCAGCTTGTCAAACCTAGGGTAGCTGTGATATGTGCCTTTCCCTGACATGGAAAAGATGATGCTTCTTTTTCCTTCGGGTAGGGGAGGGTGGAATTATAGATCTTAAATTTTGCGTCGCTCATACAAGCTGCAGTTCACCATTAATCAACTTGGTCTCCAGTCTCCAAGAATGGAGATTAAAATATCAGTGAAGTATCATTATAAACAGGAGAGGGTGTGTCTTCTTCTCCCGCCTTGCACCAAAGTATCCAGCCTGGTCCAATGCTGTAACATCGCCAGAAGATACTTTCAAAGGCTTGGGAAGTGGGACAGGGAAATGGGACAACACAGCGGATCAGTTTTGAAGAGCTCTTTTTTGCTGCCTGTACTGTGTCAGGAATGAGACCATGAAGCTCTGGCACCAAGCTGTTCTTGTCATAGAGGCATTTCCAAATGGTGATATTTCATTGCCTGAATTTCTGGGCAGAAGGAAGCTGGTGCAGACATCCTGGGATCTGCTGGTTTTGGATCTGCTGGTTTTGGATACATGTGCACTGGTCTCCCTGAAGCTCAGTGCTATTTGGAGTCATGAACGTAAGTGGCCAGGGAGCATCAGTAAGAAACTTACAGAGTTCTTCTGTTCCGCTTCCGTCATAGTTCAACAGCTGTGGGGAGATGGGTGGAGGGGAGGTTGTTCTAGCAGTTACATATTTAAGGCAGGTGGCTGTTTTAAAATGTACGTTTCAATTTTGATTGCAGTATTTTAATTGCATTTAACAGCGTCCCTGCTGGTTCTCCATTCTGCATCCGTGCAGCCACGTTCTATTGATGGCCTGTTGTGATTTCAATGGAACATCATGGGATGTACCTGGCACGTCGGGCAGCACTGGATGGAGGTGCCTTTAGCCCAATGTACCTGGCATGGTAAGCGGCAACCAAGTGGTTAATCTGCATTCTACTGCTCATAGTCTCAGCTTGTATAGCAAGGTGTTCCTGCTTTGCTGCAGCCTTGCACTGACTGGAAATCACTTTGCTCTCCTGATTTTAGTGCTTTCATGCACACAGGGCCCCCACCCTTTTCACCCATGGAGATTCCCCTTCCCTGGGAAGTTTGCCATGCAGTAGAGAAGGGCCTAGCATTGTCAGGCTCTCCTTGTTATTCTAGAACGTGAGAGAAGGGACTGGGAAATCATCTTACTATTTTTTTCTCTCCTTTTTGGGCCAGGAGCTGGTAGCAGTTGAGCAGGTATTGCCCACGTCCCAAATATCCAAACGTTGCCGCACAGAGGTACCAGACAGGTGCTTATGTCCTTAAGCAAAGCTGTGCCGTTTCTGCGGGAGTCCTGCAAGAGCTGCCTCAGGGAGCCGGGAGGGCAGTTCTGCCTGGCACTAATTGGAATGTAACAAACTAAACAAGGGCAACTTTCAGTTTGCTGATATGGTATCTGCGAAATTATCCTCCATCCTCCATTTTCCTTCTCTTTTCCACACCCACACCTGCAAAATCAGCTGCACATCCTGCTCTGTCCTGCATGCTTTCTCTCCCTCCCCCAGCTCTGCAGACCTCTGCCCGAGTAACTTCACATGTTGGTCTTAGCTATTTTAAAGTGCTAAATATTTGTGTGAGAAAAACAAGGGTGCTGCATCCTGTTTTCTGCTTGAGCCTTCTTCACAGAGCTTTTGCTGCTCCACTGCCAATGATGAAAATGCATGTTTGTGCCTCAGCTTCTGAATTCTGCTGTTTGACTGCTCACAGGGGCTGGGGATAAGGAACTATTTGGACTAACACAGTTCCAGCACTTCTTCCCATGCTTCTGCTGTTCTAGAATGTGAATACCTCTAAAAGTCATGGGCTAATGATCTGCCAAGTGCAGCTGCTGGGGGCAGGTTGGTGGCCCTGAACCACCCACTACACTGACACCTCTGAGGGTCCTGGTTCTGTCCGGATGTGGGGAAAGATCAGATGAGCCAATGAGGAACAGGAAAGCTCTCTTCCCAGTGGGGGTCATTAAGTGCTCAAACAAGTTGGTTCATCTGAAACTGAAGGGTGCAGAAGTCATCTGTTCCAGTTTCACTCAGTTCCAGTAGCAGCTGGATGCAGCATTTTTAATGTCATAAATTGGTGGGAGAGAGCAATGTAGGAAACAGTGGGTTTCGTTCTGTCTTGTTTTTCTCCATGCTCACTGCTGCAGTGTCTGCTCAGTGCAGCTTAACTGCTTGGGAAGGTGGAGAAATAAGTAAGCAGGCCACTGTCTTTTCCTGGGTCTATTATAACATGCACAGTAGGCTGACGTTTTAACAGCATCTAATTTGATACATCACATCTAATCTGTTTGTTGGTTTTTATCTGCAGTACTGTTAGCTCACTGTTCAGGTGCTCGGTGTCTAGCCTTCTCATCCAGCCACAAATCCTCTACGTGAAATGAGTGATTCCTTAGATCTGTTTTTGATTGATTCTTTGCCTCACTGGTGTTGCTTCTTAAAAGGTAAACAATATTCATGTGCTGCAATCTATAACTCAAAGATTAAATCAAACAGCATCTCCTGCCAGAGGTTGCTAAGATAACACATTTAGCATTCATTCAGTAATTACTTTTAAGAAGAGATTTAGTGATATTAAAGAGAATCAAACCTGTAGTGAATATGTAGATTTTATACTGTTGAAAGGGGTGAGGGGATTTATCTTCTCCTCTGTTTAACAATTTCATTTTCTGTGATGTCCAGAGTCTTTGTGCAAACTGAGAGCAAATGAAGTTTTTCCTGCTGTGTAGTGAGAGCAGCACAGCTCCAGGAGCAGCCTGTGTGTTGTGCACAGCCTTGCTGCCCATGGGGTCACAGGGTGTCCCAGGCTGGGCACAGCAGCTAGCAGTTACCCAGCTCCTGGGGCAATATTGCTTATTAAGATGCTGTCAGCTCTTAGCTTGCAAAGCTTTGTTTGATGTGTGGCATCTGCTTGCAGCATTACTGTATTCTGTGATTTGTGCCCTGTACTTCTCGTGTCTTTGCATGTGCTGTGTCTCTGTCATGAATACGGTGGAGGTAGTGGAGAGCCTTAGTCTTGTTTCATTCCCTCCTTGCATGGGAGCATTTGAGCAGATTCACTGCTCACTGAAAAAAATGACTTGAATGTGAGGTAATCAACCTGAATCTGGGAAAAGACCATCACTGCTGCTATTTGTCCAGAGCCTTCTGTAATCCTCTTTTAAATGCAAAGGGGTGAACTTTTGCACACCATATTCAATGTTTAAAGACTGTGGCCCCAGTGAGACATCTATGTATTCTTGAGGTGTTGGGGTTGGGTTTTTACTAAAAACGCATCTGAGCCTTTTCTGAACCAGGGCTACTCTGAACTGGGAGTATGTTTATTTCTGATTTTTTTTTGCAGAAAACAAAAAGGGAAGGGTTATTAAAAATTATACTGAAATACAAGAAGTATAAACCCAGTGTCATTTTTTAGGGCTTTGGGGGATTGTGGTGATGTTATTCAAATGTTATGGTTTGTTAAGAGACATTCTCTGCAAACTAATGGATAGCAAGGCCTTTCTAAGGCTGCACCTGCCATTTCTTTGGGCAGATAACTTTTAAACAGGATTTAAACTCACAGTTGTCCTTGGTCCCATGCTTTCAGCTAGAAGTGAGATTCTAGGAATGCTGTAAGTTAAGGAATAATGCCTGCTTCTCTTTTGCTAACAACATTTCCAACACACTTTTCTTCCTCCACCTCTGAAATGCATCATTGTCAAAGAAGGGTTTGTAACTGTCCACCTCTGGAAGACACCTGGACTGGATTCATTTTTGTTGAGGACCTCACAAGATACACAAGGCAGGTTGCTATAAGGTTTTTGTCAACAAAGGGATGTCAGCCAAAGGAGTGTTCTCTGAGCCATACTCCTGTCCTGGTCAAAGCCCTTGGTGGGCAATTCTGACAACATTTTAAACACAGTGCTCTAAGATTGGTTGTAGGTTCTGCTGCCTTGATTCATTACATTCATTTTTTTGGGGAGTTGTTAAATCCACGTTAGACTTCAGCTAACAAATTCAAATTTGATAGGCAGGGTGATACTGCTTACACCTGACCACTGCTTTTAAAATCCACTGAAGATAATAGCCTACCTTATACATATGTCCTACTGAACATGAACAGTTCTGTAAAATCTGACATGTGAGATAAATAGAGGTAATATAAACCGAGTTTTTATGCTGCAGAACATACTGAAGTTTAATAATATTATGTTTCTCATGAAGGTCAGTAGCAGAATTAGAATTCTTACTCTGTTTCCAGGGCTTTCTCTGCAGGTTCATTACTTGGTTTCAATATCATTTAAGACAAAAAGAAAAAAAAAAGTAAAACAAAAAAAAGTAAAATGCTAAAACTATTCTGCATTGATAGCTTTCTAAGCCTTAAGGCTTAGACAACTTGCATGCAACGATTTCTATACCTCGGCTTTAAGTGCCACATCAATGGGAAATAAGCTCACTTTTACTTCAGTACCATCTTATTATTATTATTACTACTACTAGTACTACTTTGTTTAGGCAGAAAATATTGGCTGTACTGTTTCCCTTCCTTTCGCATATTTGTCCTTTATGGAACACTTAAAAATTATACCCAGGGATTTTGTGTGTTACATGCATGGAAAAGCACCATTATGTTTGTAGTGAAATTGTAGTACTAGGCTGTTTCTTGCTATCCTGAGGAGGATGCATTTATATAGAGAGAAGCTATTAAGTTGCAAGCCATGTTTTTGTCCCCCCCTATCAATATATCTCAGTGACACAGAAGTAAGGGCTCTTACTGGCCTGGCTAGATAAAAGTAGGTATTTTGTGCCTCTGTGCTGCTGCTTCTTCCCCTTAATCGTCAATTCTGGAAGCAAGCCACTAGAACCAGACAGTGCTGCAACTCTGATGTGACTAACTGCATCAAAACTTGGTTTTAAAGTGCTCAGCAGCACTTTAAAAGTGGAGGTAGCCCCTGTCCTGTCACATTTTTCAGATTCTGCAGGGTGAGTTTCTATTACAGAAACACTGTAGGTGGAACTAGCACCACGGGAAGCCTGTACTTCCTTCTTTTGGCTGCCACCCTTTCTAAAGCCATCGAGCTCTGGAAACAACATTCATGTGCACAAAGGCACTGCGGTGAATCCACCATCTTCTTGGATTACCATCCCCTGCTGAAACAAAATCAAATGGAAAAGCAGAGCAGCCTTTTTAGCTCTGGGTCAGGGTGGTGAGCCAGAGGGATCTGTGTGGATGCTAAATCAGATGCTGCTTCACTTCTACCAAAAGCATAAGCAAGCACCAGGCTGACCAGCAAAACAAGTGAAGAGCTGTGTCCTGTGGAAGAAGGGAAGCACCTGCTCAGCAGATCTGCTGGGAAAAGTACCAGGGTAGTCAAGCAACAACGCTGGAGGAAATACTGCATTTGTTTACTTTTTGGTAGCTTTTTTTTATAAAGCAAAACTTCTCTGTTGTGCAGAAATGGATGATATAAATTTACCACCTTTCTGCCAAATGAAATCTTTCTATTTATCATCAGATAGTGAGAATCAGGTTTAAGGGAAGCAATTTTTTTATACTAACAGCATCAGTCCTTATTTCTTTTTGTTGTGTACCTATACTTGGCATTGAGGGAACATAAGGCAGTCTAACACTTCATCACTTGAACTGTGATGGGAAAAAGTGTGGTAGTGGAACTCACAAACTACAAAGCAATTAACTGATGATGATTTTAAGAGAAAACTTAAGCTCTTAATTTCTCTGTATTTATGGCTTACTTCTCCTTCAATTAGAGAGATGTTTCAATAATATGATGAACTGGGAAAGGAAGAAAGGAAGTAGAGGGCTAAATGGTGGTTGTGTTAAATTTTGTATTTAATTCCTACTTCTGAACCTCAGAAACTATTTAAAATCAACTTTAACAGATAAATGTAAGTAATAGTTGGCATTTTCAAACAAACAAACACACAAAAAGAAACCCAACAAGGAAAAAAAATTAGAATTGATCTTGGATTCCCAAATGCAGCCCCCGGATTGACTTCTGGGTTTTATGGATTGTAATATCTACCAAACATGCAACTGCAGTTAGTTCTGACATATCTCAGACTTGGTGTTTCCTACAGTTCATACTACTGGGAAGGCCAATATAAGCATCTAAACTAAAATACATCATGACTACTGTTTGTAAAATGCAGGTAGTCACAATTTTCCTCTCTTTACAGTATTTCAGGATAGAGAAGCTGTGACTTGGGAGATGTTACTTGCCTCTATTATTTTAAACAAAATTATTTCAAAATTAAAGACGGAACAAAATTAACTTGAGAAAAATGTTTCAGATTTTTGAAGACATTTGGTGACATTTAGCTAGCTCAGCATCCTGAATTTCAGCCAGTTGAGGGTTGATTCTAACCCTACATTTCCATGGATTGGGATATGGACATTGCCAGGGGAGTGGTTTTTAAAGCAGCTTTTCATACTCTTAAGGAGACTTCCCATTCACACCTCAGTGTGGGTAATTCCATCTTCAATGGATTTAGTTGCTACATGTCATTTTCTTGACCCTAGAGCAGCTGGGTGTTACAAGATTTCAACGTGTAACAGCCAAGAAACAAACTACACATTAAAGCAGGGAAGCTGCAGCTTATGCTAATTATTTTACATGCTCAGATATGCAAATGACAGTGAAGTAGATGCTTCTCTTTTCTTCCTCTTTTTCTTGCTTCTCATCCTCCCTTCAAGTCTGTGTCAGGAGAGAACAGCTTTCCCCTGTACCTGACTATTGTTTTTATCCTGGTATCTTTTGAATAGTGATTCCAGCCAATAACTATTGCTTCTGTAAAAAGATAATTACAAATCTGATTTTTGAAAGATTTGAGTCAAGTCTTAGCATGAGAAATATTTCTTTCTGTATCCCCAGCAGGGTCACATCTTGCAGGGCTCAACGTACTCAGATCTCCCTAGACAGTCAAGCCTTACATAGACTGCACTGTGTTAAAGCAGTCTATTAAATGTAACCTATTCTAGTGGAAACAGCAAGCTCACACCTCTCATTGTCCTGTTTTGCAGGTGGTAAGGTGAAGGTGAGAGGAAGAGAAGGTGGAGATGGAACTGCCAAATCATGCCAAACAACTGCTACTGCAGCTGAACCAGCAACGAGCCAAAGGTTTCCTCTGTGATGTGATCATTGTGGTAGAAAATGCCCTGTTTCGTGCCCATAAGAACATCCTGGCAGCCAGCAGCATGTATTTCAAATCCCTTGTCCTGCATGACAACCTGATAAACTTAGACACTGACATGGTGAACCCAACCGTGTTCCGGCAGATCTTGGACTTTATTTATACTGGTAAGCTCTTAACGACTGACCAGCCTGGTGAACAGAACTTTAATGCTCTCCTCACCGCAGCAAGCTACCTCCAACTGCACGACCTGGCAGCTCTCTGCAGAAAGAAGCTGAAGCGGAACAGCAAGTCCTTCGCTGGCAAGGCCGGTGGCCTTGGTGTTGGGAGATCTGCCAGGAGTCAGAGACTTTCCACTGCTTCAGTCATCCAAGCTCGCTATTCAGGGTCAAATGAGGGGTTGAAGGGCTCGCACTCAAAGGAGCTGTCAAAGGGAAAGCTCTCCGATGACGAGGTCTTCATCAGCAGCTCCAACCAAGAGAACTGTCACTCCTTAAGCAGGGGAACCAGCAAGAATGGTGGTGGGAGCAGCAGTGCGAATGGGAGCACCGGTGACCAGGAGTTAGGCCTCGACTTGTCCAAAAAAAGCCCCTCGCTCCCTGTCGCAGCCTCCCAGGATGACACGCAGCACAGCGAAAGCCAGCACGGCTCTCCCCAATCTGCCTCAGCCCCTGCAGCCAACAGTGCCTCATTGTTCGACGAGTCTGGTGTCGGAGCCCCCCACAGCATGGCAGACAGCAGCGACCCCATGGAGATGGATCTGAGCGAGGAGTGCCACCACTCACTGACAGAGAGCAGCCAGCGCAAGGGCCTCCGGCACTCGTCCCGCAAGAAGGAGTGGATCAAGAAAGACAATGCCTTTGACCGAAAGGAAGGGGGCAAAGAGAGGGACGAGGGTGAAGGGCTGCCCAATGGTATCCTGCTGGGGCCCTTGTCCAAGTCTGTGGAGAGGAGTCTGGCCGGGGCCTACGGGGCAGACCTGCCCTACCCATGTAAGGAGGAGGTAGAAAACGGTAAGGAGAACAGTGATGACAGCGGCCAGAGCGAGAGTGAGAGCGGTGGCCATACCAGTGCCAACTATGTCTACCGGCAGGAGGGGTTTGAGCCAGTGGCCTATGGTGACAACCTGTATGTCTGTATCCCCTGTGGCAAAGGCTTCCCGAGCTCCGAGCAGCTCAATGCCCACGTGGAAACGCACACCGAGGAAGACCTTTACATCAAGGAGGAAGGCACATACGGCAGCAAGGATGAAGCTGAGGATTTGTCCAACCCCAATCAGTCCTACGCTGCGGAGTCCCGGCCCTTCAAGTGTTCAGTGTGTGAGAAGAGCTACAAGGATCCAGCCACGCTGCGGCAGCACGAGAAGACTCACTGGCTGACGCGGCCCTTCCCTTGCAACATCTGTGGCAAGATGTTCACGCAGCGGGGCACCATGACACGGCACATGCGCAGCCACTTGGGGCTCAAGCCCTTTGCTTGCGAGGAATGTGGGATGCGCTTTACCCGGCAGTACCGACTAACAGAGCATATGCGTGTCCACTCAGGAGAAAAACCTTACGAATGTCAACTGTGTGGTGGGAAATTCACCCAGCAGCGCAATCTGATCAGCCACCTGCGAATGCATACCTCTCCCACATAAGCCAAAGACTCCAGAATGAGCTTCAAGCCCATCCGCAGTGATTTACCTTTCTGTAGACTTGCTGCTTAAAAAAAAAAGAAAAAAGAAAAAAAACAAAACAAAAAAGGGGGCAACTCCCCATACTCTGTTCAGTCATGAGAGGCCTAAACAAATGTAGCTTTAACATTTAAAAAAAAGTTCCTTTTTTTTTCCTTTTTTTAAAAAAAAGAAAGGTCCACAGCCAAGCTGATGCATTTAGTCCCAGTCTCCCTTCAAATTCTGATGACCTGGCAAGAAATGCCTCTTCTTTTTGCACACATCGACTGCATTGCCATATTGCTTATCTGGAGCAGGTAGGGAGACCTTGGGGAACTTTCAGCCTCTGCTGGCTCCCCCCTCCTCTCCCCCCTGCCTCATTCTGTTCTCACTGTACTCACCTCCTTTCTTAAAACCAAACTCAGTAGGGGTATTTCTTGCCATTAAAAGAAAACAAAGTACACCTTTTCAGTGGCCTAAGTAGCTGTGAAATAACAGCATTCTCAAGTGCAGAAGCTGTGTCTGTGGACCATCTCACAGGGTTGGCAGCCCCTCCAGAGACTGTGGGAAAGCCACAGCAGTGGTGGAGCCCACCCCCATCCCCTGGGCTGGCGATGGTGGGGGGAGCAGCTCCCAGGGCTCCACCAACCCCAGTGCTTCACTTAAAGAAATGGTGAAGCCTCCCTTACCATACCTCCCCATTTTGGTTTTGATCTTTGTCCTTGGCACACGTAACTATGTGCCACCTTCTCCCATAAAACACGCAAACCTCTTTTGCCTTACCCATGACTGAACAGGGACTGGATGCCCTGGGAATTTCTTTCAGTGAGCAGGGGGTCGTCTTTACTTTTCTAGTAGTTTCGTATGAATATTCTTTGCTTAGAGGTACTTGTTTTATTAAAGGAAAAACCATTGTAACGTTTATGTGAATGTTTGAACTGGAAGGTCTGAGGTTAATTCTAGGGTGGGTGGGTGGGGAAGGGGTTTGATGTAGGCTGGACTTGCTACAAGTTCCATAGGTACTTTTTTATTATTTTTTTATTTTATTTTTTTGTGTGTGTGTATGTTTTTAGCTTTCCTCCCTCACTAAAGAGCAAGTCTGTGTGGACAGACTTGTTACCTTTGCTACCTCTTGAATTCATGAGAACAATAAGATGGTTAGTGAAAGATTAGGCATTTTTTTCTTTTATTGTAAGTAATTAAATGTATAAAAGTAGAAGCTAAATTAAAGTTAAGGGATTTTTACCACCCCATCCTTCCATCAAAAGTCAACTAGAGAAATGTTAAAGCAAAGCTTGGCCAAAGACAAAGCAAAAAATACACTGAGCTAGAGGCTGTGCTGGCTGCTTGGACTGGCTCAATTCGCAGTCTCTTGGCTGTCTGTAGTCACTTTTAGATAAAAGCAGAAAACTTCTCTGAGCTTTTTGGGCCCTTTCCAGCTTTGTTTATTGAGTCTGGATACTATGGGGAGGGGAAAATGTCCCCCTCATCTTCCACTCCCCCAGCACATCTGGGTCAGTCTGTAAACACCTGGCAGGACAGAGGGTGAGGGCATAGCAGCCTATAATTTACTAGAATCCAGAGTGCAATAAGGTGGGGGAGAGGAGGAGAAAGCAAACCAAAGTGTTTCATATCCTCCCTTTTAGACAATTTAACACACGCACACAAAAAAAAAAAAAAAGAAAGAAAAAAATGAAAAGAAAAAGAAACAAAATGTTCTTGCAACATCTGCCTAAGATATCACAGCCAACAGCTGCTATTGGTTTAGGAGAGAAGACAGAGAGAGAACTTTGCCCACCAATTCTTGGCCCCCTTGACTTTGTTGGCGTGACCTTGTGGAAAGCTATGGCTTATTTCAAGCCTCCCGTGACTGTGGTGGTAAAAATTCACAGCCAGTAGAATCATCCCTTCTGAAATGACTAAGGTTTACACTTGCATTTTTTCATTTGTTGGTTTTTGGTGTTTCGTTTTTTGGTTTTTTTTTCACTCAAACCAGTATAGTCTCTATGCGTAAGTTTTACCAAACCTCACGTTTTGTCTTTTTTTTTTTCTAAAAAGAAAAACAAAACAAACAATTTAAAAAAATTTTGACCAAAAAAGAAAAAAAAAAGAAAAAAGTGAGCATGTTTGACTAAAACAAAGAAATATAAGCTTCATTTTCTGTTGGGGTTTTTTTCCATTTTTGTTTTGTTTTGTTTTGTTTTGTTTTTTGTTTTGAAGGTAGACTAGTCCATGAGAAGTTTTTGGGTCAATTGAATGATTGAGGAAACTGGAATCCAGGCTCCAAGCAATAGACAACCCAAAGGCGCTGAGCCTCGGCCTGGTGTCACGTTACAGGGAACACTCGCCCCTCTCCAGCCGCTCCCGTGTGCTTCTCCCAGTGCCATTGTCCGCTTGCTCCCGGACGCCTGCGAGCCCCGGAGCGCGGGAGGGGTGCATGAATTTTGGTTTTGTCTGATTGTGCTGAGACGCGCTGTTTTCGGGGGTTAAGTGGGCTTTTAGCGTCTTTAGCACTTCGATATTTTTGAATATATATTGAATTGTTTTCTCCTTGATTCCTTGTTAACCCCCACCCCGAGAACGTCCCCAAAATAGTCTTTGGGGAGGATAGGGAAGGCCGTGCCATCTACCTTGTGCTCAGAGCGACTCTGAGCAGAACCCAGGGACAGCAGTGCAAGATGAGTTCCTCGGCACTTTCACCCCGCCTTTGCCTCCCCTCCAGCCACCCAGGGCGGAGCCGCCCGGCCAAGGAGCCCTTCCAAAGCAGGCTTTAGGTCCTTTAGGGAGGGCTGCGGCCGGGCTGGGCCTTGGTCGTGCGGCGGGGCTGGGATGCGGCTGTGGCCCTGCGTGCCGCTGGGGACGGCAGGCTGGAGCCACCTTGGGCCAGCGGCTCTCGGGGGAGCAGCACGAGGCAGCACCGGCACGGAGCTCCTCGGCAGGCAAACCCCTGCTCCCCCTTTCTTAATTCCATTTTTACGTGTGTGTGGGTGTAGCTTCTCCCCCTGCCTCAGGCCCCATCTTAATTTGTTTCTTAAGCCTTGAGAATTACGTTGAACTTTCAGGACCCAATGCTATTTTTTAAAAACTATTTTTTGGAGCATCTTTTTTTTTTTTTTTTTTTTTTTTTTAAATCCCCTCCCCAGCACTTAAACAGTATGACATAAAGTCTGTGTACAGCAAGAGTATTGTACAAAAGGAAATTATGTTCTTTTTTCAAATAGCTGTGTAAAGTTGTGTTCCATAGACTGAGTATAAACGACATTTTCCAAATTGTGACAGTAATAATGAATAACTAATAATACTCAAAACTTCAGGGACTGTTTGAGGCCTGCTTGGGGCCTAAACACTCAACTGCATTTGTACGACATAGTATTGTATCAACATTTTTCTGTATTTTAATGAGAAAGCAAAACACTAGTTTCATATTTAAGATTTTAAGAGTTTTAGGGTGGGGGGGAGGGAGTTGCATTTTTGTTGTTTTTTTTTAATTTTTTTTTTTTAAATACACAAAGAGCCTCAAGAGGAATAAAACAACTTTAAAGGAAACAAAAAAAAAGAAAAAAAAAGAAAAAAAAAAAGAAAAAAAAAGAGGCCAGGCAGCTTAAGTATATGCTTTAGTCACTTAGTTCCAGAATGTTTTCGGAATAACAGGAAAAAAAAGATAAAATAGCAAAAGTTGTATAAAAGAATAAAGAAGCTCATACCCAAATTCACAAAACTATTTTTTAAACCAAAGCACATTTGAATGAGTATGGAACCTCACTTGGCTCAGAAAAGTACTAATATATTTATCTCATTGTTTACATAAACTTTTACAGTTTCAGACCTCAACAGATCTAGGGGCCAGTCAAAATTAATCTTTGCTTTTTCCATTGGTTTGTCTCTGAAGGCTACGCAATGTTCCCCAGCTTGGGAGGGGGATCTGTGTCCCAGCCTGCATTCCAGCACTGCTTGGGGAGGGTGGGGAGAGGGTGGGCAATTACAAATATGGCATGTAGAATTTTTTTTTTCTTCAATCCATGAGAGATGTTGCTGGCAGTGAGACCCAGGCACTATTGTAGAGGCATTCCAGCCTACCTCTTCCTCAGAGGAGTCTGAGGGAATCAAGAGGACAAAGGGAGATGCAAGAAGCTCTAGAGATAAAAAAGGATGTTAGAAGAAGTTGGGAGCTGCTGTACCCAGCACATCTCCATAACTTCAACCATGGGGAGCTGGGCTGTGTTCCAGTCCTTTACTGCAAAACCTCCAAAAACAAATTCCTGGCAAAAAAAGCCCCAAAGGCCCAGCTCCGTGCTGGGGGTGTTAGCAGGAGCCACAAAGGTCACAGAAGACACCAAAGAGCTATTGACACGCAGCTTCTGTGAGGCTTTGCGGCCGCTGCCGCGGCAGAGCCCGGCCCGCTCCCGGCCCAGCCCGGGGGCACCGAGCGGCCTCCCCCGGGCGGGCTGGGCTCTCCGGGCCCTCGGAGCCCCTTAATGAAAGCGCTGGATTGATTCACTGCAGACCTTACAGTCCTGCACGAAGAGCCCAACCAAAACTCCTAAAGCTGCCTAGGTGGAAACCTAAACCTATCTGCATGGTAGAACAGTTTAAAGATGACCAATGAGGATGGTTTGCTAAAATACCGCTGAAGCCAAAAATAAAAAGGTTTAAGAAGGCTCCCCATCATTAGTCTTGACCCTTTGTAGCTTTTACCTTCTACACCAAAGCCACCTCAAGCATTTGAGGGGGGGCTGATGGAAAATGAAATATTAATTTTGCCTGGTCTTAATATCTAACAAAGATGGTGCAAACACTATTTGACAGTGTTGTTTTTGTATCAATATGTATGTGCAGTAATGAATGTATTTATTTCTCAGATTCTGTATGCACAGTTTTGCAATGTAATTCAGAAAGTTGCAAACACAAAGATGTGTCCGCAGGGTCTTCTCTACAGGATTTCAAAAAAATGAAAAAAATATATTAAAAAAAAAGAAAAAAAAAAGAAAAAAGGAATCTCAGAGACTCAGCATAGCCATAAACCATAACCTGTGAAGACAATACAAAGACTGGACTTTTGTA